TGGGGCCATCTGGAACCCTCTTGGGGCCCTTTTGGGGATCTTGTTGTAGCCCTCCGAGGCCGTGAGAGCCCGACGAGCCCGACGAGCGAACCCCGCGAGACACGTGAGAGCCCGACGAGCGAACCCCATGAGACCAGTGAGAGCCTAGCAAAACCTCACGGGAATCCCGCGAGGCAGTGCTCATCCAAAAGGTAATGCCCGATTGAGGCCCTCTGCGTACATGGGCGGCTGGGAAAATGTCGCCACATTCTGGATGCACCTGTGCACCGTTGTCGTGCTACACTGGTCCGTGCATATCGTTATGTACGCCCGCCCATACATGTATATTTCTCTATACTGGCGTATGTGTAATGCCTTAAAGAAAAACTTGCCCATGCATAAAATGTTAACTCACAGGCCCAAACATTTATTTTTGGCCGTCTGTGGCCAAGGCCCCCCTCTGCGACATAACGTTTTTGTAAATGTTGGAACACGCGCAGGCCCCCTCATCAGCAGTTCAATATTCGTTGGGGGTCGATGGGCCTCCGGAAGCTGTCTGTAGAAAACGCCCCTTGCCAGCGCGCGCAGGGATGCCGAGGGCGACCTGAGAAACATTCGCCCGACTCACTGCGTGGCCCCCTGGTCGCGACGCTGGGCGGAGGCCTCCGAGTGCCTGCGGAGCAGTGCATGCGGGGAAGGTTTCGGCGGGCGTTTCTGCGCTTGTGCGGCCGCCTTTGGGCGCGTGCCCGCGACTGCGACCGCCCGCGGGCGCTTCGTGATCAGTTGCGGATGCTCGTGGGCACGCGTGGAATGTCTCACCAACCTTTTTTGGGAAGATGTGAACACGCGGGGGCGCTTGCCAGTGGTCCCGCGTGCCTGTGAGCGCCCGTGGTCTCGCATGGCCGCTCGCGGGCGTCTCTCCCAGTAGCCGCGCGCTTCTGAGTGCCCGCGCGCGCCCCCGCGCGCGCTGAATGGCGCTGCTATGTTGCGAGCCGCGCATTGTGTCTCCAGCGTCAACGGAAGCCCCGACCCCAGTGAAACACAGTTTCAGAAAAACGCCCCTGCGACGATCCTAGACACTGGGAGAGGTGACAGAATGCGCACCTCGGCGCATCGGCGACAGGGGTGGAAGCGGCGGTTCCCCTGAAGTAGCGGCGGCCATGCATCGGCAGGAGGGTGTTGAGTGAGGAAGGCTATTGTATAATGAAGCTCTTCGACGGGGACCACGCCCAACCAGCTGAGCGCTACCGGGAGGGGTCATGCTGCGGATGGTCCGCGCGGTGCGTGGCGGCTCCAGGAACGAGGGGCATTGAACCGCGCGCCTGTCTGAAGGCTGCATGGCGGCGGTGATTGCGGATTATTGGCCGCGGGCAGGATCCCGCAGGGCCCCTATTCCCATGGCGCGGGCAACGAGTGCGGGCGCGCCAGCCGACGATGTCGGGGCTGCTGCGTCGTCTCGCGAGCCATCTGTCAATGGTGCCAAGCGGCCGCGCTCTGCGAAGCCTGAGGGCCGCTCTGCGGCAGCGAGGGCGGCGGGCGACGTAATTCGCGGGCAGGGGGCAGGGCGGCGGGAGCAGTGGCAAGGGATTAAGCAGGCCAAGCAGCCGAGCGAGAGATGATCAACGAGAATCTAGGCGGCGCCAAGCTGAGAACCCAACGCAGTGGGACTCGCCCCGCAGCGCGGGGGCAGCTCTTCGAGTTCCTCGCCCACTGCGCGGCCTCCTGCGGCCCGTGACCTTCGATGTCAGGATGCTCCGTGGCGCGCCGAGGCAGATGCAGCGCGGCGCAGGGGAGATGGAGAGAGGGCGCATCGCCCATGGAGCGCGTGCGCCGACGCGGAGCAGCAGACGACGGATTCTTCCACCCCGTGGCCGGGAGGCGCCGCAAACTGGTGGTCATCGTGGACGTGGAGTTCGGACACCTGGCGCAATGACAGCTGGGGCTCGCGTGATCATGGGCAAGGGTGAAAAGGAAGAGAGCGAGGGGGAAAAGCGGCTATGCCGTCAGTGCCCCTTCGAGACTGATGTTTGCGGCTCAAATGCGTCCATAAGGGATGGATTGAGTCGCCGTGGCACAAAAGGCCCCCCGCACCCGCGCCTTGTGCACGGCGAGCCAGACAGTGGGAGAACTGTCTGCCGGGCGCTGCGTGCCAAGACGTTTGTATCAAAAACTCGGGGCGATGCCTAGATCAGGTTTGTCCGCCCGCGCGAGTGGAGCTCGCCGGGCCGGCCGCGAGGGGAGTTGATTACTCGTCCCCCCGTGCCCATTTCTGTCCCGCAGTTTCGTCGCAGCCGTCATCGGTTGGCTCGCCCGCCAGGCGCGCGCGCCCTCCCGGGCACCTTCCCCAGGCCGGCCGGCCCTTTCATATCTCGTTGTTGGCCCAAACTTAAAGGGAACCATCATATTCATTTATCCATGGCATTGAGGGGTTCATCACCTACATTGAAGATTACCTGAGCAAGATACTTCTACAGGAAGGAGATAGAAAGGGAACGCAATTGCGAGACGATCATGGTCAGATTTTGCTTATCAGCATGGCCAATGAAGATCCCATATCATCACCTTGTTTTTAATATTAAAAATATTGTATTAATCTGTTGGTTCCGAATGCTGTTCGCTCAGTGTCTGTCTCCGGTCCTGAGAATCTGCGCGCGCGTATCGGTTCAGCGGTGTTCCTGAACGCGTTCTGGCGGTATGACCGAACTGAAACCGTGGAACGCACGTCTACGCTGACGATCTCGACGCGCAGGCCGCGGGGTACCGAGCATTGCCCCTAGGGCACCGAGCGATAGATTGCAGACTGCCGCGCGCAGGTCGCGAAGCGCCGGGCAGGAACCACGGAGCATCGATCCGGCACCGCCGAACTCGACCAGAAAACAATTCGGCACCGACCAGGCATGGCCGACTGCGTCAGCCTCACGAGGGGGGGTGTGCGCGCAGCGAAGCATGAAGAGTTGGGTGGTCCCGTACAGGACTTCCAGAAACCCCACCAGACATACCTCAGGAGGGAAAAAAAACACACGGACACAATTAATCCTCGATTCCCAGGAAAATATGGGAAAATATGGGAATTGGGGGGGGAAGACAAAAACCCAGAAAACATGGGAAAATAGGGGGACTATTTTTGTTTGTGTGCATCTCTTTGTGTGTCCTAAATTTCCCTTTCATACCTTGGCATGCTACGACGCCTCCACGTGCCAGGGGGCACGGTTGAAGATTATCCGGTATTGGCTTTCGGCCCAACCCGCCACATGTCAGGGTTGTGTGGGCAAGAGGCCGTCTGGATGACTGTCGCAGTCGCTTGGGTTGCTTCTTGGGGCCCCCTTTGAAGCATTTTAGGGGCCCTCTCTTTGAAGCCTTTTGGAGGACTCGCGTGGGGTTCCTTGAGCTCTCTTGAGGGCCTCTGGGGAGTCCTGGGCCATATCGGTGAGGAGGCGTCAAGTGCTTTGGCAATTGCGCATTTTCTTGAGCTTCCCACAAGCTCCCAGGGACTTCTGGGCGTCTTCCAGGGCCTCCCAAACGCTCTCGGTTCCTTTAACGGGCCTTCCAGAGCTTCCTTGGCCGCGTGCAGCGTTAGAGAGTCCCGCCCCACGATCGCATAGACTCTACGACGTTCTCCCTAGCCAAGTCGGGCCGCCCCGATTCCGGCCGCCGCAGGTGCGACAAGTGCAACCACGCTTGAGAACTACCGAAGCAAGCAACGATCAGCATCAGCAGCAGCAGGAGGTTCAGGATCATCTTCACCATCATCACCATCATACTCATCATCAGCACCAGCCTCAGCATCAGCACCAACATCAACATCAGCATCAACATCATCAGCATCTCCGTAGTCGTTGCCGTCATCATCACCCGCAGCATCATCATCATCATCATACATCATCACTAACATCAACAACACCATCATCATGATTATCATCATCACCATCGTCATCTTCATCATCATCGCCACCATCAGCTCCATAATCTTCTTCATCACTGCCATCGTCGTCGTTATCGTCATCGTCATCACCATCGCCATTCTTATCACTGCCATCATCATCATCATCATCATCATCATCATCATCACCAACACCAGCACCAGCACCATCACCACTAACTACCACCATCATCACCACCATCACTGTCACCACCACCATCATCACCATCAGCATCGCCATCACGATCACCGTCATCATCATCAGCAGCAGCATCCTCATCCTCATCCTAATTCTCATCCTCATCCTCATCATCATCGTTATCATCATCATCATCATCATCATCATCACCATCATCATCATCATCATCATCATCATCATCATCATCATCGTCATCATCGTCATCATCGACATCAACATCATCAGCATCTCCATCATCATCATAAACATCACCACCATTTACAATTGTCTTCATCAGCAGCATCATCACCATCATCATCACGATCGACGGTCATCAAAACGATTACCATCATCAACAGCCATGGCACCATCGTCTCATAGAGTCGTGGCGCATCTCCCGCGGCAGCCGTGGCTCCCACATGAGACTGACGCAATTGAATCGAGGACGACTCGTGTGTGGCGCTGCCTTCTCGTACCCGGAGGGCCTCTTGAAGCCACTCGGGCCTCTCTGTGCCATGGGGGCTCCCGAGAGCTTACCGCGAGGCCATTCGGACCGTGCGGAAGACCTCCCCGGAGCTTCCTCCCGCTTCCCAGGGAGGGTGGGTCCACCAGGGGCCTCCCAGAAAGCCCCCCGAGGGTCTCGGGAGGTCTCTGTCTCGAGGCTTCCTGGGGGTTCTCTCTCTCTGTGCCGAGAGCTTCAGAAGGCATCCCAGCAGACGGCCCCGAGACTGCGCTGCCCGCTGTCCGCGAGCGGGCTCCCCAGGGGCGCGCTGGGGAGGAGCTTCGTCTCGCGCGCCGTGGGTGCACCCTGCTCCTGCTATTTGTTGCCCCTCCTCTCGGTCTCAAATCTGTTTTCCGAAGCCCATTGCGTTCGCCTAAGCAGCGTTCCCTTAAAGTACGATCCCGTGGGCGGTGCCGTGCCAGATGGAGCAGTGCCTGGAGCTCGTCGACCAGCCGATCGAGACGACCCTCGGATATCTGACAGGCCGCTGCCAACCGAGCAGCCGCCAAGAGCTCGAAAAGATGCCCGCTTTGCCAGTCAGCCCAGCCGACGCGCATCCGCGCAGAGTCAGCTCACCCCCAAGAGCGGGGCAGGCAGCCCAGGCGACACCACCCAGTACACCGCGCGCTCGCCCCCGAGTGCCGACCACGCCCCCGCCTCTGAGGGGCGTGAACCAGGAGTCCAGGGCGCGAGCTAAACGATGTTTTGGCGATTTCGTGGACCGTTTTCGGTTTCTTTCAGGTTCGCAGCAGAGGCAGAACGAAGACAGGACCAAGGACGACGAAGCCAATACGAAATCGAAACACATTGTTTATAGCTCGAGCACCTGCCAGGAGTCCTTGCTGCTGCGGAGTCTCGAGCAGAACTGCTGGACGCAGGTGCGCCTCGTTCTCGAGGCGGACCCGGAGGCTGCCAGGGTGCCGATCTTGCAGCCCTGTTTTGAGTGGCCGCTCTGCGCTGCGATCCGCCTGGGGTGCAGCGAGGACATCGTCAGGCTGCTGACCGAGAATGGCGCGAAGGTCGGTGGTTCAAAGATGGGATCCTCAGGGATGGGGACCTTTGGCTCGGGAGGGATCCAAGGGTGCATTTACGTTGTTTGAGTCACCTCGTCCTTCCGACCCCATCCTTTAGGACCCCTTCTTTGAACCACCGAGAAGGCTGACGTGACGAACGTTCAGGGAGTGTCCCCGCTCCAGCTTCTCAGCTCACGAGCGGAGAGTGGTGTCGGCAGCGCCCCTCCCTTCGACCTGCGGGGGATTCCTGGCCTCGCGGCGTGGTCAGAATGGATGCTTGAGTCCACCGCGCAGCACGAGCTGGGCGTGGCCACAGCGCTGCTGATCGCGGGCGCAGATCCGGCGGCGTGCTACGGCGACCCTGACAGCTCGAGCCTGGAGCTGGCCCGGCGCGCCGAGAAGGGTCATCTTGTTGGCCTCTATGGACGCTGGGGCCCCGTGCCGGCGGCCTGACGCGACGTCAGATGCTGGACGTGAGCGGGGGTCAGCCGGGCGTTCAATCCGTCTTTTCCTGGTTTCGGCAAAGCCACTAAGGCCGCCGGGTGGGAAAGCTCTGCTTTTGAAAGTCGCGCACATGCGCTACCGCGCTGGAGGAGGAGGAAGTGGAGGAGGAGGAGGAGGAGCAGGTGGAGAAGGAGGACGTGGACGAGGAGGAGGAGGAGGAGGAGGACCAGTGTAGACCCAAGAGTCATCAACGATGTTAGAATCAACCCTCCCTCGTAAGCTCTTTATTCATGGGCCCCTACAACGGTTCATTTCCATTGAGGGACCTGCCTCGTTGGAAGACAACCGTGTGAAGATTCTGAAGCGTGCCAAAGCATTGTTCTCAGGATTTCAACGCCACGTATCAACCTGACTGCTGCGTCCTGGCGATCCGGAGTCGTGCCAGAACGTCACTTTTGGGATTCCAACATTGCGAATCAACATAACTGTGCGCCCGCATAATCCTGAATCCTTCCAAAGCACAATTTCTGGTACGTTGAGTATGGGAATCCGTGAAACTCTTGAAATTGTTTTAAACGAATGTGCGCGGCGCTGGGGCGAGAGCCACATTTTGAAAAGGAACCGCCCTCAATCCGTGAAGCTCTTGCAAATTTTGAAAACGAATGTGCGCGGCGCTAAGGCGAGAGCCACATTTTGAAAACGACTCGCCCTCAATCCGTGAAGCTGTTGTCACTGTTTGAGCTTCAGAGTCGTACTTGGTGAGGAGCTCTCGGGCGAAGCGCCCGGCCCGCCCTCAAGACTGGGCCTCGGGGGGCGACAGGGAGAAGTACATTTTCTTCATAAGGAGGAGGACTGGAGCACGGCCGTGACAGTGTGTGGCTGTGGTGATGCCTCTTCGGGTGGGGGCCCTCTCGGGGGCCCTGGGGGCCACTCTCGTCGCAGGCCTAGAGGTTGACACCAACACCAACATCGGAGGTGCGCCTCCACCGAGGGACGAAGAGCCCGATCTCGGCGATGGCGGTACTGTTCTGGCTTCCAGGGCGACCGAACTATGGCCACCAGCACCGAGATCTGGGATCCTCTTCCCCCCGTGGAGGCAACCCCCTGTGTCGGTGTTGGTGCCCATTTCCAGGCCTCAAATCTCGGACCGTCCTTTGGCGCTGCCTCGGGGTGCGACAGGGAGAAATTTTCTTCGTAAGGAGAAGGACTGGAGCACGGCCGTGACAATGTGTGGCTGTGGTGATGCCTCTTCGCATGGGGGCCCTCTCGGGGGCCCGGGGGCCCTGGCATCGCTTGGACGTGTGCGTTTCTTCTCGGCGAGAACCATCGAGGACCATCCTGGACCATCGAGCAACAAAAAAAAAAAACACGCGCGAAACCGTGCCCCGAGTGTGTCCCGTGGTGTCCCGTTGAGTGAGATCGATAGTGAGATCGATAGTGAGATCGATAGGTGTCCCGTGGTGTCCCGTGGTGTCCCGTGGTGTCCCGTTGAGTGAGATCGATAGTGAGATCGATAGTGAGATCGAGAGGTGTCCCGCGGTGTCCCGTGCTGGCCCGTGGTGTCCCGTGGTGTCCCGTTGAGTGAGATCGATAGTGAGATCGATAATGAGATCGGCAAGTGTCCCGTGGTGTCCCGTGGTGTCCCGTGGTGTCCCGTTGAGTGAGATCGATAGTGAGATCGATAGAGAGATCGATAGTGAGATCGGGAGGTGTCCCGCGGTGTCCCGTGGTGTCCCGTGGTGCCCCGTGGTGTGAGATCGCTAGTGAGATCGATAGTGAGATCGATAGTGAGGTCGACAAGTGTCCCGTGGTGTCCTGTGGTGTCCCGTGGTGTCCCGTTTAGTGAGATCGATAGTGAGATCGATTGAGTCAGATGTTGGTTCCCCCCTGTCTCCCCCCCACATCGTCCTTATCACCCGAAGGGTGGTCGTATAGACAGGATGTTATTACGACTGGTTCGAGGCCGCGTGGTATTCTATCATACTTAGATCGTAGCGTACCAGGATTCAATTGGAGTTGGACTTAGCTATAGCAAGAGTCTGTTTGAGATGCATCGAGCTTTAGTAGGATTCAACCAGAGCTGGATCCAGTATAGGAGGAAGCCACGAGAGTTAGATCGAGCTCGAGTAGGAATTCCTGAAAGTTGAATCCTGCTATAGTACGGCTGTATCAGAGCTGGATCGAGCCCTGGTGGGATTCAATTAGAGGCTGTAGGATTCGAGTTGGATCGACCCCTACTAGGATGATATTACAAGTAGACCCAGCTATAGTTCGATCTTAGTAGAGTTTGATCGAGCACCAATAGTTCCAAAGGGGAGGCCCCCCCCCAGGGAACCCCGCCGTTTGGACAGGACCCCCCCGTTTCGAACTCGCCTACCCCCCCTGGAAGGGCTCCCCCCCGGTTAGAGAGGCCGGTGTCCGGGCGGGTGGGGGGGAGCGGGGCGTTTGTCCGGGCCCTTGCTTTGGGGTGGACGCCGCGGCCGTCATTTTCCAGGCTTGAGCCCGCCAGGTTTGGGCCCGAAGTCGTTTGCACTAAACAATTGCTAAAGGGGATTCAATCCATCCCCGGCTTGCATGTTTTAGGGGGGGCGGCTCCGACGTGTCCAGGGATTTTGTCTTGGCAAAGCGTCCACGAAGCGCGTTCTCCTTACAGTCTAGTCTGATCAGTGAGCCGACCCTGCCAATTCAAGGGTACCCTTGTGTTTTGTGTTTCGCGACCCATGCCTTCTACACTCCTGTGGCCATATGGCCCTCGGAACGGTCTTGTGTCCTCTCGCGTGTCCTCTCCAGTCAGCCCCGACTGTACCTCAATCCATGTTCCACTGGTTTTATCTGAAGAGCGTCTTCCTCTGCCGCTGGCTGTCTACTGGCTGGCTGGCTGCTCGCCCGTAGTACTTGCGATCAGGGGTTGTGACCTCGGCAGCGCGCTCGTGGTCGTTTTTTATATTCATTGTTTTGCCGATCGGCGCGGGCCCCTGCCCCCCCCCCCTTCCCCCCCCCCATGGAGTAGATTTTGGCTGTTTCTGGCGCCTGTTTCAGGCAGGTGGAGTCCCTCCCCCATGGGACGCACTGTTGCAAACAGCCGCAGTAAGCAGAGGTCCAGAGCCCTCCCCCCCCCCCTCCCCCTCCCCCTTCCGCCCAACGTCGAGACGCCGAATAAGAAGACGCTCACCTCCCAGTGTGATGTACGAGGGTCTGCGTCTTCGGGAGTGCGCACCTTTCGCCATTTTCGAGCGGCCTCGATCCGGGAGCCGATTTTTTTGCAGGAAGCGGCGGAGGAGGGCGAGGCACGCCTCCCGAGCACAGAATCATCCCAGCGCAGAAAAAACAGAGCAGCTCTCTGCTCTGGAGAAGGGCTGGCGCCCTCGGGCCGCCTCTCCGTGGGCGGGCTCGTGGCCTCGGAGGCGCGCGCCTGCGATACCCCCCTGTGCGGTGCTGTGGCCTCGGGAGCGCGAATGCGTCGTGGTGCGCCAGGGCTCGTGGCCTGTGGCCCTGGCGCACCACGACGCACCATCGCAGTCCATCGCAGTCCATCGCAGGGACACACGTCGGGGGCGCGACGTTACCAGGGACATCGCAGTCCATCGCAGTCCATCGCAGTCCATCGCGCGCAAGTCTGGTGGGTTTTCCTGCGCGCCAGTGGTTCCTGACCCTGGGGGGTTCTCCAGTCCATATAACCCTGGTGGGTTCTCGTGCGCGCGAGTCCATGGCAGTCTGCCAGGGGGTGCGGCCTCGGCGGCGCAAGCTCGCTGGAACTCAAAGGGGGCCCGTGGCCTCGGGGGCGCGAAGCTCACAGTCTCCTTGTCGGCAGCGCGATTCGGGAAAAGTCTGGCAACGAGGTGCTGGGAGGAGAATGGGGCGATGTTGGCCTCCCCCCTTGCCTGGACTTCTCAACCCCTCAGATCACGGGAACTATAACATACGACGTATATACTTATAATTTTGGAGCTGGGCCCGTTGCAGGGAACAAGAACAGCTCCGCCTCGCAGCCTGTTGGTGCCCAAGGGGTCCAGCGGATCTGCTGCCCTGGGGGGACCTCATCGTATAAGTGACGCTGGCTTGCAACTGCCTGGGCGCAGGGCCATTTGGCCCAGCTTCCTTGATGTAGCCGGGGCTCTGCCACGAGGCACCCTCTTCCACTGCCCGGATGTGTCCAGATCCGCCGCTTCGGGGTCGTGCCAGGGGATCTCGGGCGAGTGGGAATGAGGGGTGACCCAAGTGGGGGGGTGAAGAAAAAGGCCCTAAAGTTGCCCTTCAGGGCCCCTTTTTGAGCCAGTTGGTGCCCAAATGCCCAAAAGGGGTCCTAAAGGGCCCCTGCAGGGCCTTTTTCTTCACCCCCAACGTGGGTCAGCCCCCATTACCGCCCGCCCGAGGATCGCGAGGAGAGGCGCATGTGGATATCCGCCCGCCCTCCCAGGCGGGCAGCCCTCCATGTATCCACCGCTCCCCGAGCCACCTGGGCACGACCCCGCGGTTGTGTTTGGGGGGGGGGTCGAACCGCATGTCGGACCAATCCTCTCTGGCTTGGACCAAATACGATCGACTGGGACACTTCTGAACCGACCAAAAAAAACGAATTGGTACCAGTGACAACCAGCCATCTCGGGTCTACACTAGGATTTCTTTGTACAACTTTTCAAGACGATCCAGACATCGAATGAACGTCTTAAGGGTGTACATTCATTCTGGGGGGCATCATGGGTGCCCTGGTTGGATGTAGTAGCTGTTTATTTTCTGGGATATGTGAGCTGTGTTCTTTTGCAACAACAACTCGCAGCAACGCATACCACCTCAAAGCAACAACATGCATCCCACGCAACGGCATATATTCAAATCGCAAGACCACACACCTCACACAACATTCCGAAAGCCCGACCTATCATCCTCGTTGTCCTCGACCGTTAGTTCCCTTATCCGTTCCTGCCTCTTCCCTCCTCCTATTTTTCCTCCTCCTCCTCATCCTCATCTTCTTCGTGCCGCGTTCCTCGTCTTCCTCCTCGTTGTTCCCC